GAAAAAAAATATTAAAACTGTCTGGTGATGGGATTTTGGAGATAAAGCAACTCGATGCTTAAATTCGACTAAATCCTAGATCAATACAAAACTCTATGCACTTTGTTCCTGCGTTGTTTATTTTAAAAGCAAAAATTATCTTTCTTTTAATTTCTACAGCAGAGGTTAGAGTTGAGTTGAAGACAAAGAAGGGGAACTTCGCTTTTAACACAATACTAAAAAAAAAGATGAAATCAAAAGACCCTTTGAAGTGTAAAATCCAAAGATTGTTTTTCGGTAGCAACATTAGCCAAATCTAAACAACCACCAGTCTTTTATGGCCTAGAAATTCAAGGAAAACCAAGTCAGATCATATGAAAAGCTTCTACAAGTACATAATTTCTATTATGAATTGCAGCAGAAGTCGAAGGTATGAGAATTCCAGAAAGAAAGAGAAAGACAAAGATGAGAGAGGAATGAAGAGGAGAAAAAATGAAGATGTTCTCCGTTTCATATGTTTCCGTTAAGCTAGTGACGTGTCTTTAATTTAATTAGGAGTTGTTTTTTTATGAGGTGTCGTTCTGTTATTGGATGGGGACACCAACTAACGTGCTATCCCCGTTGTATAGTAGACTTTCTCCTTATAAAGACCATTCACTTGGAGGAAATGTTTCAGGCAACATTGTATGTCCAGAAATTAAGATTTCTGAGCCTAAATTTTCCCTTCTCAATGATGAAAACGACGTTTTGGGGTTCATTTGGTCATTCACTTCTCCATGACCGGCATAAAAAGAATCTCCGAATGCAACCTTGCCTCCATAGGAAGAAGTCTACCACGTTAAAGCAAAGGGTAAACTTTCATCGTATCATATATCCATCATATATTCCTTCTTTTCTTATATATATCCTTCTACCTTTTTTAAAACATTTTTTTGAACATGCTTTTATAACAGCTGATCAATAGTGAAAAGTTTAAAACCCATAGCTCCTCTAAACATTTTATTTACTACAAAATAGTCATCAACGCAACTGGAAAAAATTCCTGACTCTACCACTGATCACCATGTATCAATAGTTAACTATCCATAGGATATGAATGCATAAAAATTATATGAATTAGACTAAAAAAAAAAGCTATCCTGTCTTGTATATAACTCCTCATCACATATATCAAAATAAAAATTATATGACTTATATTATTTTGCTGTGACTCTAGCTTCAGAGAAGAAGAATGAAACAAATAAATGGGCGCATGAAGCAGTTGAAAGCAGAGATGGAAGAAATTAGCAAAGAACAAGAAAGTATAAGACATGGCCAAAAGGAGGTCCGAGAAAAATTCGAAGCTATTGAGACTGAGTGCCAGCAACTGCGCAGAGACACTCAGATCATGGCTCAACAAAGCGCCAGCACCAAACTCCGCTTGGTTATCATGTTTCAGATCCTCAGAGCTCGAGAAAATAATGACTTTGCCACCGCTACTGATCTTACGAGGATTCTACGGTATGTGTTTGATATTATTTCTCGTTTTATAATTTTAATTTTTTTCTCATTTATTTTCATTTAGATTATTTTCTTAGTGATAATCATCTGCCACCAAACCGACAAAGTAGACAATATCAAAGCATCTTTTATTTTATCTACAGCACTCTAGCTATCGGGGAGCAGGCCGATATAGTGATGGAGATGAACCTTACAAGAGAAGTAAAAAAATTTTGGCTAATTATTTTGTTTTCTTTATCCCTTTTTATGCAGTGAGATGATAGCGAGGAACAGTCAAACATAAAGTCGGATTCGAGGCTGGTTATTGTGTTAGGAGTACTTTATTTTATGTTCCAGATATAAGACTAAACAATAATTCTTAGTTGTTTTAATTAGCTCTATATTTTGTGGCGTTTGTGTTCTTCGACTACCATTGGATTTTATCTCTGCTTGTTTTGGCGTTTGTATTTTAGACAACATCATAGATAAAATAAAAGCGTATCTGTAGCGGATTTGAATAGCCTTTTAATTTAAATCTTTTACATTTAAATCTTATTCTACCTTTGTAATTCCCCTTCTCCTTCCCCATTATTCCCCATTATTCCAATTCCCTTAGTTCAAAATAAATAAATAAATAAATACTTTCCATTTTAAAATAATAAAATTTTTTAATTTTATTATTTTATTAAGAATTTAGGAATAATTTTTATTTTTATTTATTTAAAAAAAAGAATAATA